GGGACTACAGGCATGCGCCACCATGCCCGGCCAATTTTTTCTATATATTTTTAGTTGTCCAATTAATTTCTTTGTATTTTTAGTAGAGAAGGGGTCTCGCTCTTGCTCAGGCTGGTCTCGAACTCCTGAGCTCGAACGATCCGCCCGCCTCGGCCTCCCAGAGAGCTAGGATTACAGGCGTGAGCCACCGCGCCCGGCCTACCAGTGGTTTTTAATCAGAGCAATTTTGTTCCCCAGGAAACATCTGCCAGACATCTTTGGTAGCCACAACTGGGCATGGGGGTGCAAAGGGTGAGCTGTTAATGACATCCAGTGGGTGGAGGTGAAGGAGGCTGCCAAACACCCTACAATGCACAGGACAGCCCCAAAACAAAGAATGCTCTGGTCCAAAATGTACCTAGTGCCAAATCAGAGAACCCCTGAACTGCCTAAGAAAACAGACCCTATACTGTACTTTGTGGGCCGGCGCCTTATGTGCACCATCTGAGGTCATCCTCCCAACCATTCTAGAAAATTACTGCTATTTGTGTTTCACAGAAAAGGAAACTGAGGCAAGAGAAGGCAAGCCACTTGACACAGGTCACACAGTCAGTCAGTGAGTGACAGAGTTAAGACTCAAACCCAGGGCATCCGGCTCCAAATCCAGCTCTTAGCTGCTCTCCCAGACCAGAATTCCAATCACACAGAGCTACTAAAAATAACACCCTATAAAGATTCAGACAAACACACATACCTCCACTCTGTCAAAGGTACCACGTCACTGACCCGCAAAGACTGGAGCCAAACAGAAGTGTCTGCATCCCAGCCTGTGGGAGGTTACTTCCTCCCGAGAGAAAGCCGTCTTCATCACACTCACGCCGGAGTTTAACGAGAAGCAAGTTTTCAAAGCAAGTTCGTTAGCTCTATCACTTCTAACACTTTACAGTCTGCCTCTTTGTTGTTTAGAATGACTTAAAAATCAGAACATGACAGTAAAAGTGTGTTACAAAACACATAAAACCAATTTAAAAATAAAATATGCTAACAAAATAAACTCACCTGGTTTGATTGTCCGGAAAGGTAGGGCTCAAAGTCATTATCATGGACTGTATCCTTCTGATGCAAAGAACCATTTTGTACTAGAACAAGAAGTTGCAAAACATTACCTTCAAATCTGAACGTTACTTTTAAGCATGGTAATCAAAGTAAAGTCTCCTTCCATCTGTTTCTAGTAAAAATTATACTTTTATTTTAAAATGGGCACAATCAGTATAGAACCGATGTTTACACACTAATTAGAATGCTGATGCAGAACTCTAAATAAACCAGGCTACATTTTTAATAGAGATTTAATCACAATTTGGTGAGATATTAACAAAGTATAGGCCCAAACAATACAATGCAAGGAAGTCATAACCGTGGTGAAACAGACACCACGGTCTGAGATCCACTTGCTGCAGATGGAGAGTGGAGCCTCCGAAAGCCCAAACACGGTGGAGAACCGAGGCCAGGGGACGGCTGGAAGGGCTGAGGAGCGACCTTCTGAGGCTCATCCCTTGCACCGTTACAGCGTCCGGCCAGAAAAAGAACGGTAAATAAAGCGCCGGGCCTTCTCGTCTTAAAACACGATGCACCGTGCTTGTTACACCCGAGGTAACGAACAGTCTTCCAAGTAAACGGGAAGTGTCACTTACAGGTTCTCCCGGGAGTGAGCTTTGGGGGTTTACCCCAAGCCGAAATAGCACAAGAAATGACAGACTCAGAAAACAGGGCTGTAACCACCCGGCCCGACGGCCTCTCCCCGCCAGCGGCCCTAGGGGCGGCAGGAGGCGGGTCGCGCAGCCCTGCGGCCCTCTCGGCCGCGTCCACCGGGCCCGTCCCTGCCTCCTCCCCGCCCCATCGAGTCCACGCTCTTGGCCGGGGAGAAGGGCTGTGGCACCACCCCGAGCTCCCGTTTAGTTCCTTCTCCGTGAGGGCCCTGCTGAGACCTGTCAAACCTCCCGGAAACGTCACACCTCCCGTCTCCCGTCCCGCAGCCGCGGAGCGAGCGAGGTTCCGCTCCAGACGCGGCCTTCCCCGCGCCCTCCCGCCAGCCCGCCCGGCGTGCGGGCCGCGCTCACCTTTGTTATCCTGTCCTTTTGTTCGCTGCACCGCCGCGGGCCGAGGCGCGGGAGCCGCACGCACCGGGGGAGGAAACACAAAGTTACCGACCAGAGCACCCGCGGCGGGCGGCACGCTCACACACGCCCCCGGCCCCGAGACCCCGCCCGGCCCGCGCCCGGCTCCGCTACCTGGGGGTCCACGCTGGTGGCCGACATGCTTCATGAACGGCGCGGCGCGGCGCGGGGCCGGGGCGCCCGCCGGCTCGGGCCTCCCCGAGAGGCCGGGTCTGTCACCCCCGCTCGCGCGGCCCCGGGCCCCGCCGCCAAGTCCCGGGGCGCTGGCCAGGCAGGGCCTGCAAAGCGCGCGGGCCGCAGGCGGGCGGCAGCGGCGAGCCGGGACGCGGACGCGGACGCGCTGAGAAGGCACCGACTCCAATGGCGGCAGCGGCGGCGGCGGCAGCGACGGAAGGGAAGAGGCTGCGCGACGTCAGCGCGCGCGGGGCAGGTCGGGAACGTCGCCAGGACGCCACGCGCCGCGCCTGCGCGCTGCCCCCTATGGGACGGATTTCGCGCCCGGGTCCCAGTCTCGCGCGGCCGGGCCTGGGCCGCAGCAGGGGGAGGGACGAGCCTGGGAAGTCACGTGGGGCGTGTCCGGCGGGGCGGCGGGATCGCGGGTCCGGGCGGCGGGGCCGCGGTTCCGGGCGGGAAGCGGCCAGGTACGCGGCCAGGTGTGCGCCTGTCCCTCGCCGCGCGAAGAGGGCTGGCTCATGCCCGCAGCCCGGATGCAGGGTCCCCGCCTGGGGCCGCCACACCGAGCCCCCCGCACTGCGGCTCAGGGTGGGTGTCGGGCGTCGAGCAGTTTTCCCCACGGCAGGCCCGGGTGGAGGCACTGAGCGGGTGGACGGCGGCAGCAGGGACCGCAGTGGGCCCAGGAAACACTCCAAGCCTGGGCATCAGGTGGGCGGGCTCCACTGCATGTGAGGGGAAGCGGCACCGGCAGCCCCTCAGCCCCGGGGAGGACCTGCTCCAGGCCGCTCATTACGGGCTCCCAGGGCCCCACCTGCCTAAAGTGGGGAAAGCAGGCTGGGCGTTTCCTCTGGCTCAGGGCCAGGAAGGACTTCTGACGCCCCGCCGACAAATCTGGGCCCACTGGGACTTTGATACGCTTGGACCATGGGCAGCGCATGCCAAGAAGTCGTCTGTGCTTTTGGGGTAGGTCCAAAAATAAACGGCGTGTGTCCACAGGGCAGCAGACACATAGGATCGCAGTGGCCACCAAGTTCGCGAGGAGCAGGGCTCAGCACAGAACACGACGGGGCTCTCTGCACAGGGTTGCAGCCAGGAAGGGGCTGTCTGTCCCTGAACAAAGGCCAGAAGTCCCCTTGACCGGCTGAGAGCCCTGCCCCTGCCTCTGTGAGATGAGGCTGGGACACTCCAGCAGGGGCCGTGTACCTGTCCCCCAAGGGCGGAGAAGGGCTGGGCAGCTGTGCCTGCGGGCAAGGGGGTGTCTGGGAGGTCAGAGAGGACACTCAGCCCTCTCAGCTTCTGCCCCTTCTCCCCCCAGCTCACACCTGTCCGGCAGGATGGTGCCCACTGGGGTTTGGAGCTGCAGAGCCAGTTTCGGGACCTTTGACCCCCACCCCCAGCCTGCTTCCCTCCTCTGTCGTGTGGGGTAATGACTCCCCTCTGGAAGGACGGGCGTGGGAACAACAGCGTGCACTCAGCACCGCACTGCAGGCCAGGTCCCATGAACGCTCCACCCACAAACGCCCCAGCAGTCACGGAGGCCACGTTGGTCCTGCCGGAAGTGGCCCCTCAAAGCTTAGATGACTTCTGGGATGGCTGTACTCTGGGGCGCAGAGCCCTGGGTGTGGCTTAAAATGATGGAAATTTGTTCTTTCCCAGTTCTGAGATCAGCATCACTGGGCTGGAATCCAGGTGTGGGGTCCTTCCAGGGCCTCTCGAGGAGAACCCTTCCTGCCTCCCTTGGCCTCCCATCCCCACCTTCCTCTGCTCCCGCCTTTTCCTCTTTGCCTCTGTGTCTCTTCTGATAAGGACACCCGCCACTGGACTTAGGGCTCGTCTGGGCCAGGATAACCTCATCTTGATGTGATGATGCCTGCAAAGACCCTATTTCCGAATAAGGTCACATTCACAGGTACTGGGTGGATTTGGGGGGGCCACTTTCCAGCCCACTACTGGGCTCACTGGTGGGGTCTCTACAGTGATGCCAATAAGTAGATTTTGGAGGGGAAGAGTCCTGGGCTGAGTGGGTCCTACTCACAAATGTGAACAGTATGAGGCCCGAGGAGGTGCCGTCACACCAGCCTGGCCCCCACAGGTGGGATCCAGTAGCCACCACCTGGGCCCATCCCAGGCTGCTGCCCTGCCAGCCCTAAAATCCGGGTGGCTCCGTGCTCATCCTGACAGGCAGGGAGAGCGAGAGCTGCCCAGGGCAGGGGGCGGCACGGTCCAGGTTGGCAGGGAACAGGAGGCCCCAGGTGCGGCACTCATAGGAGAGGTTGAGAGCCCCGGGGGATGCCTTTACCTTGGCCAGGCCCGAGGACCCAGGAAGGGGTCCCAGGAGACCAAGGCCCAGCTGCCTGCAACCACGGGGCCACATCTGCACCCTCTCTGCCTAGCTGCTACAGGGCAAGGAGGTCCGGGCCATGGGCCCCTGAATGACACTGACCACCTAGCTCAGTGCTTTGGGACAGTGCTGGAACCAGCCCTGGGGTCTGTGCTGGAACCAACAGGCTCTGCTGCTGCCTTGCCTGCCTGGCCTCTGCACTGCTGCAGCCCGTGGGAGCAGCCGGGTGGGTGTGGGCATGGGGCCACGGGTCCCGCACTTCAGAGCCTTTCTGTAATTGAAGCGTAGTTGTGGCACGTGGGGTGCATTGCCACCTCAACACCAGATGGGCGTGTGGGGACCTTTGGTTGCCTGGACGCTGGACATTCGTAAGGGACTCTGCATTCAAAGTCCCAGCCCCACGTCCATGTCCCAGCCTGGACTGGAGCTCCTGACCTGGGAAAGGGAGGTCACCCAGCACCCAGGTCTCGGGGCCAGCTGTTTCTCCCTCACAAGGAACAGGCAGTAACTCGTGTTGTGGACAGAAACAGGGGTCAGAGGGCTTGTGGCAACTTCCCCGGGTGGCCCAGGAGTCTTGAGACCACGGCTGTCTGCCATCTCCAAGCTGTGCCCTAACAACAGACAAGAGCCCCGGATCTGGACCGTCTGCCTTCAGACAGGCCACTTGCTCAGGGAACCCGTTGCATGCCCAAGCGCCCCCTGCCTGCTGCACCCCCAGGTGGTGTGGGATTTTCTAAATGTTACCAGCATTAAAAAGGTTTGATTTTTAAATTTATTTCAAAGTTATGCAGGCCTATGATGAAAAAGCTCTCTTTGTACTCAGGGTACAAGTTGGGAAGCAGAAATCACCATCACTAGTCCCCTTCCCAGAGGGAGTCCAGACACCCGACTGCCCCTGAAAGCATGGGTCTGTCTGTCTGTCTCACCTGTGCTCTGGCCTGCTCACATGCTGCGCTTGTATCTCACCATGGGGAAACTGGACCTGAGGGGTCCGCAGCGCTGCAGACTGTCGGTGCCTACCGTCCACCCTGCAGCCCTCTCCAGGGACTGAGTGAGTTACAGCCACACTGCAGTGAGCATCCTGGTCCTGACACCCACGCACACCTGTTCGAGGGCACCTGGAGGGAGGCTCCTGCAGGCCAAACCAGCAGGTCAGAGGGTACTTACTCTGGTCATTTTGTAGATGTTACCAGATCACCTCCAAGGGGGCTGTACCAAAACCTCCAGCCAGGAGACCTTTATCTAAGGCAGAGTGCAGGGTCCAAAGGCTGTGGGCTCTGGCTGAAGCAAACCCTCCTGAATACTGGATGCAGCCTGCCCAACAGCCGGCCTCGGGGGCCGGCAGCAAAGAACCCGTCCACAAGGGTGCGGTGAGCACCTACTACGTGTGGGCAGGCACTGGGGTCTGAGGTGGTCCTGCTCTGCAGGGCTCCAGGGAGGGACACTCAGCCCTGCAGGGGCTGTGACTCAGCTTGGCCAGGTGAGCGCTGTTCACCAGGAACCATGCAGCCATGGGAAGAGAAGCCAGCTGCTACCCTTGTACCCCAGATGGGAGGAGGACGGAGGATAAACGGCACCGTGAATCGGATCTCCTTCCCAGGATGGGAGGAGTCTGTCCCTGAGCTGAAACTCAGAGGGAGCAGGCACTCGCCCACTGAGGACGCAGGCAGGCGGGCAGGGTGCTCCAGGAACACCCTGGGAGGTGGGCACAGTGGCACCGGCCCACCCACTAGGAGAAGGTCAGCTCCCTGCAGCAGGGGCCACCGCTGTGTCCACCGCTGGGTGCGGGTGCTGGGCAGACAGCTTGGCATGTGGAAGGTGCATGATCTGCATTGCATCTGGAGGGCCAGTGTGGGGTTTGGAAGCGGCTCTGGGGTACTGGAGCAGCTGAGCTTCCAAGAAGCTAAAGAAAGTGCCCGGGCCACGTAGCTAACTGGGGCTGCTCGCTGACCTTTAACCCCGACCCCTGGCACTTGCCCCACAGAGGTTTTGCCCCTCGCACAACTTCCGAGAGGGGCCGGCAGCCCAGTGTGGACAGTACACCCCCCGCCAGGGCCCTCAGCTCCCCGCAGGCATCGCAGCGGGGCCGTCTCAACTCCAAGAGCGTCTCTCCCACCACAGTGAGTAGAACAGGTGCGGGCCTGTGTCTCCCAAGGGTCTGCTCCAAAGCCGCGGCCTCGCCCACTGACGCAGCCCTGGGGATTGCGGGGACCGCATGGCTCTTGCAACACGGTCCTACCCCAGGTGGCTCGACCCTCGGCGACCCAGAGATGCAGGCTGCTGTTAGAGGCACCTGCGGTTCTGCTCCGGGGAGGAAAGGCCTCACCTGGCAACCGGAGGGCCACGCTCAGCCAGGTGGTCCCGGCAGGGCAAGGTGAACACTCAGAGCCCTTGTTCAAAAGGCAGGAGCACAGCTCTGCGCCTTTCCTTCCCGCCACCGCCTCTCACTGGACCTGTCCGCTGGACCTCCCTCCGCTGTTTTTTTTTTTTTGAGACAGAGTCTCACTGTGTTGCCCAGGCTAGAGTGCAGTGGCATCATCCTAGCTCACAGCAACCTGAAACTCCTGGGCTCGAGGGATCCTCCTGCCTCAGCCTCCCAACTAGCTGGGACTACAGGCATGGGCCACCATGCCCAGCTAGTTTTTTCTATATATTTTTAGTTGTCCAATTAATTTCTTTCTATTTTTAGTAGAAACGGGGTCTCGCTCTTGCTCAGGCTGGTCTCGAACTCCTGAGCTCAAACAATCCTCCCGCTTCGGCCTCCCAGAGTGCTAGGATTACAGGCGTGAGCCACCGCTTCCAGCCCCTCTGCTGTTTTTATTTGCTATTTAGGGTCACGCTCCCGCGGGCAGTGGGAGGGCAGACCCTCACAGACACCTGACACCCCCCACACCTGCCGTTCCCTCGGCCAGACACACTCAGCTCCTCCACCTCCTCTCTGCAGCCTCCCGTGGCTCCGTGGAATCTCGTGCTCACCACGGCACGCTTGGGACACCAGGTCATGGCTCTTGTGCCCACCCAGCGGCTCCAAAGCCACTATGTTCACACCTGTGCTGTCTCCCTTAGTCCAGCAGAGGGAGCTGTGAGCCAGGAGTTAGGAGCCTCGGGCCTCACTCGTCCCCCAGCCCCACCACCCACTTGCCTCGATTTCCCCAGCTGAGGGGCAGCTGGGAAGGGAGTGCCGGAGGCGCTCACCCCATGGGTGTGGCGGGCCATCACCTGCCGGGCCTTCTATAACTTCTAGGTGGCACCGTCTGGCACGGGGGGCCCAGCCACATGGAGCTATTGAGCACGTGAAATTGAGGAACTGCATCTTCAGTTTTGTTTAATTTTCATTAAATTCAGCAGACACACGTGGCTGGTGGCTCACGTCCTGACGTCCAAGCTCGGACCCCAGCTAGGGACACTCGAGCCTGGTCCTCCGTATCCCGGGGGCTCCAACTAACACACGGTCCAGCCCCACAGACCAGAGGACCCTGAGTCCCCTGGGGCAGGTCGGTGACCTGCTTGTTCAGCAGGCCTCCGGGGAGGCTTTCTTCTCAGGTGAGGCCGACGCCTCCCTGTGTGCCTGACACTCAGTGAGGTTTGCACCCGTCTGACTCCGCCCTGTGGCATTGGGGTGTGCCGAGTCAGATCTGCCCCGGAGCCCATTCCTGCCTCCCTCTCCAGAGTCCTCCCTGTGGCCAAGAGCACCCTGATCCAGCCCTTCCTGAAGCCAGATCCAACAATCTCCTGGATTCCCAGGCTGGAATCTAGGGCAGAGAGGGAACCTCTCCTGTGGCAGGCAGCAGTGGCCGCTGGGTTCTGCAGGACTGTGGGAACAGAGGGCCGTGCCGCCCGCCCTCCCCATCCAGAGGTGCCTTCGGTTGTCCCTGGCCCCAGGCAGCCTCTCAGCGCAGCTTCACGGGGCACAGGGGTGTGGGAAGGGGCAGACAGGAGCCAGGCTCAGCCGTACTGAACAAGCTTCAAGGAGAAGTCAATCTCCCCGCCCAGGCCTGGGCTGGGCACTCCCAGAAAGTAAATCGGGTTAACAGACCCCACCAAAGGTGCAGCCCAGACAGCTGCACTCGGGAACAGTGACCATCCTGACCGAGTCCCATGGCCAGGTTAGTGTCCAGTGAGGACTTGCCGTCCCAGATGCCCCTGCTGCCCTCTTATGACTCTGCATGTGGCTCTCCCAGCTCAGGTCCCACCAGGAACCAGTGCCCACCATGGCCTCAGCCTGGAGCAATGATACACGCCCAGGTGTTATCCCCGTGGCGGTGCTCCCCGAATGTGGCACCCTGGTATGCTGCCTATTTTGAACGGAAAGCCCTTGAAGGTTGTCAAACGGCAGCACCATTACCTTGAGATGGGCCCCACCCCTCCCTGAGACCTTACCATCCTCCTCTGAGCCGGGCAGCCACCCCCGAGGACGTTTCCGCTACACAGTGAATCTGCTTCTAGGGCTCTTTCGAGTTCCAGAGAGAACCACTGACAAGTAGTTTTTGTCCGATCCATTTGTCCTCCCTAATAATCCTTCGTGGCTGTTGGGAAGAATCTCAACCTTGCCCCTCCCCATGAGGAAGGGTGTCTGAGCACCTGTGCCCCACTGGGTCGCTGGGTGCTCACTCTCCTGTGCCCCCCCTGTTAATAAATGCAGGTGCCTTTTCCTCCCACTAGCCTGCTGTTTGTTTTCTGTGAAATGTCAGAAGGGAGGGGAGGGGCACTCAGACTGATCTGTGCTGGGGTAGATATTCCCAGCCTGAGCACAGGGCTGCTCCCAGACCTGCAGGGGCCTCTCCCAGCCCCAGGGCTCCCAGGAGAAGGCCGAGGTAACCTGCCTGGCCAGCGCTGGGCACCCGCACAGCCAGAGCACCTGTGCAAGGGGGTGCTGCCCCCCCCATGCTGGCGTGTCCTGACTTGGGCAGCAATGATCTGCCATCAGACATCAGACACCATCCTTGCCTCCACCCCCAGGTCCCGGGGAGGACGCCTGGGGAGGGGCTTCGTGCCAGTTCCGTCTCCCTTGTTCTGAGAGACACTGCCTACCCCGTGCGGGGAAGCAGGATCTGCGGCCCCCAGCACCTCCCTTGCTGCGGCCCCTACCGGGCCCCGTGACCTGCTCTGGCTGCAGAGCACATGTGACCCGGCTCGGTCCCTTCCAGAAAGCAGCGGCCCCTGGACACTCCCCTACCCGGGGCATCTGGCGGCACACTGTGCCTGCCCTCGCTGTCCTCGGGAGGGCCCAGGGTCCAGGAGCCCAAGCCAAGCCGGCTGGACGTATTTCGGGACTGGCCATCCAGGGCCGATCTCTACTCAGACCTGGTCAGAGCTGGTGTTTCCACCATGGGGCCCAAAGACAGGGCCAAGAGCTCACGCTGCGGCCCAGAGCTGAGCTGCAGGGCAGCCGGGGACGGCCCCACGCAGGAAAACTGTAGACCCCACTGTCCGTGTGTCCGTGTCCAGGGCCGCAGCACCTGGGGAGCCCGGGACCACGTGGACGGGCAGATCCTCGGCCAGCTGCACCCCCTGGCCGAGGAGGAAGACGGGGAGGGGCCTGCCTTCCCCGGCATGGGCTCCGAGGAGGTGCGGCTGGCCTCCTTCTGCGACTGGCCGCTGACCACTGGGGTGCGGCCCGAGCCACTGGCCGCTGCTGGCTTCTTCTACACGGGTGAGTCCTGGGGGACCTCTGCTGGGGGCCTGGGCATTATTCTGGGGCCTTCTCCGTGGAGCCCATCCCCCCAGCAGGGAGAGTCTGGCCGAGGAGGGGTCAGAGGTCCTGCAGTCCTGTCTGGGCCACGTCCTGGGGCCTACCCCTCCTGGAGTCTCTGCTGCCCACACTGGGACAGAACCTGAGATACACGGGGAGGGGCTCACACTGGCCACGTCCCGGGGGTGTCAGCTGCAGGGCCTGCCTCGGTGGCCCTGCCGGTACCCCCGTTGGCAGTTGGCCAGGGTCCCCCACAGCCTCTGTGATGGAGCACGCAGAGTGGACACCGCCCAGGGCCTCCCCTTCACCTACGCCTGGGTCCACAGGGCTGACAGAAGTTAGGGGACAGTGACGGGTGACCCGAAAGTCCTGACCATTCAGCCTGTGAGCAGTTTCTCTAGGCTCTGCCGGCGGCGGCGGCCGCGTCTGACCTGAACACAGGCCTCGAGCGCCTGTTCCAGCCGAGGCTTGGGCCTGCCACTCGCCCCACAGCTGGGGGGCCGTGTGGTCGGGGCTGAGGGATGGGTGGTAGGACCCCTGGGGGGCTTTGTAAGCCCACCCAGGCAGCCGGGGGACCAGTGGCTGTACCGGCGGGAGCCGCCTCACAGAGGGGCAGCCCCAGCTCCCCTGCTCCCCGGGAGAGCTCAGAGGAAGGTGTCGGTTTGCACCAGTGACTTCCGTGTGAGGGGGTGGGGCCGCCAGGAGAGGGGTCGGAGGCTGAGTCCCTGAGGACAGCCCTCTTCTGCGAGCCGGGAATCCGTCCTGGGGAGGCATGACCTGGGGAGGGGCCCTTCAGTCCCGTGAAGCTCCAGGGCCACAGGCGTTCCAGGCCCTAGGGTCCTGCCGCCACCCAGCGGCTTTGTGGCTTTGTGGACAATGGGAATGCCAGCTCAATCCTTTCCCGAACATTCTGGGTCTGTCCTGGCAAGTGCCCCGACATTGTCCTCATTCCACCTTTGGCACCAGTGAGGTACGCGTGAAACCACTCGCCCAGCCGCTCAACAGGGCCCCCCAGGGAACCCCCAGCTCTCACAGCCTTGGAGGGGCCACCCTAGGGGCTGCGGGGCCAGCATCTCTGCCGCACCGCAGGCCAGCAGGACAAGGTGAGGTGCTTCTTCTGCTACGGAGGTCTGCAGAGCTGGAAGCAAGGGGACGACCCCTGGACCGAGCACGCCAAGTGGTTCCCCAGGTAACAGCCGCGGGGGGCCCCCAGGTCTGCACCCCAGGGCCTCTTTGTCCCGGTGGTCTCGTAGCTGTAAGGGAGGCCCCTTCTGGAGGGTGCTCCTGGCCGGCAGGCAGGCCCACCAGGTCTTCCCAGAAGCCCCTCTCCAGGAGGACTGTGGGGCAGAGGTGCCTTCCCCGCTGGCCCGGCTGCTTCCGGATGCTCCGCAGGGCTGTCTGCAAAGCTGGTGGGGAGCAGAGGGCAGGACCCTCCACGGGCCTGGACCTGACTGGGGGCTCTGACAGCCACCCCGCTCTGTGGATTTCTGAACCCACTGTCCTCAGGTGTCGATTCTTGCTCCAGTCAAAGGGCAGAGACTTTGTGCACAGCGCCCGGGAGGCTCATCCCCGGCTGCAGGGCTCCTGGGTGAGTCTCTCCTGTCCTGAGGGCTCCGGGTGGCTGGGGAGGGCCTCTGCTCACGCGAGCCTCCTTCCAGGACCGATGGGAAGAGCCGGAAGATGCTGCCCTCACCACCGCCCCAGGTGAGAGCTGCGATGGAGGCTGCGCTGTTTCCCAGCACCTGCAGCCTGTGCCGTGGTAGCTGAGGCTGACGCCGGGGGGGCACGAGGCTGCTGCCTGGGTTTGCCTCACGGGGGCTGCGCCACACACCAGCAAAGGCCAGAGGAGCTCCCACCCCAACGCTGCCCACCTCCCGTCCTGCTCCTCTCCCGGCCCACCCTCTGGGCACATTCCCCTCACTTTGCTGCCCCCAGCGGTGCCCGGCACACAGCGTCTGTGGCCGCTGCCCGAGTGGCTGGACGGGCAGAGTGCCCTGGCCAAGGGGCAGCTCCTTGGTGGCCCCTGCAGGAAGCCTCTGGCTCCTGTTGTGCTGTGGGAGGTGTGGGAAGGAAGGTGTCCGGCAGCAAGGGCACCGGAAGTCACACCCTGCACCTGCCTTGGTCGGAAGTGGACCTCACCAGCCCCTGGTTCTGTCTCTGGGCTGCGCCTCGCCTTCCCCTGGAGGACCGGCCTCAGGTCCATTCCTAACTGCCCACAGCTCCTGTCCACCGGGACCCTGAGCAGCTCACGCCCAGAAGAGAGGCCCAGACTGAAGGCGCCCGGCAGCCAGGTGCAGGCCTGAGACCCTCCGGGAGCAGGGGCTGGGGTGGGGGGGCGGCTGGCACCTGTGGGGGCTGGGCGATGCCGCAGCCCACCTCTCCCCACCGGCCCATGGGGGGGCCAGGCCTGGGGACACTTCACGGGCCTGTCCCCCTTAGAGGAACCAGCTGAGCCCAGGCCAAGTGCGCGGTGGGCTCCCGAGCCGCGAGGAGCCGGGGCTGCGGAGGAGGAGCTGCGGCAGCTGCGGCAGGAGAGGACGTGCAAGGTGTGTCTGGACCGCGCCGTGTCTGTGGTCTTCGTGCCGTGTGGCCACCTGGCCTGTGCGGAGTGTGCCCCCAGCCTGCAGCTGTGTCCCATCTGCCGGGCCCCCGTCCACAGCCGCGTGCGCACCTTCCTGTCCTAGGACAGGTGAGTGCCCCACGCCCCTCAGCTGTGCACACCGCGTGACGCCCGCCAGCTCCTCTGCCTCAGTTGCCCTCCGTGGTCCAGTGGGGATAACGGCCCCGTCCAGCCAGGTGCCAGGGTGAGGGGAGACGGCCTTGGACATGTGCGGGCAAATACAGGAGGGGCACAGGCAGGAGACCCTGGGCCTGGATCTCAACCCGGGAGCCCAGGCCTGGGAAATGCACGGATGGGGGACCTCGCCTGTCAGCGAAGCGGGTGGGACGCGCCTGCAGGCCCTGAGGCCTCTCAAAGGACTGTGATCGTCCCCGGGCGACAAAGTGTCAGGGCAGTGGACAAACCCCCAGGGAGTGGTGCTCACTCTCCCTCCGCCTGTCCCTCCAGGTGCTGCAGCCAGACCCAGACAGGCCGTTGGGGGCCTCCCTGCCCCTCTCAGCCCGTGCAGACCACGAGGCTCTGCTGCGGCCAGAGGAGCCGGCGTCCAGCCCTGACCCGCCCGATTCCCGACTGCAGCCCAGGGCAGAGAAGGAAGCCCCTGCTTGGCGAGGGGGGTGGTCTTACTGCACCTATGTCGGATGCTTCTGAATATAAATAAAGTGGGGGGTTCCCCTGGATGGTGCTCAGTGGCCTGTCGCACAGCACGGCCGCCTCCCTGCCCCCCAACAGGTCACAGGTCACAGGTCACAGCCTCTCCTCCCCCCCCACTGCTGAGGACACCCCCTTTCCAACTCCCTTCCCCTATTCTGTGTCTTAAGGACTTTGGGGATGGGCTAACCCTAACCCTAACCCCCCTGAAGCTCTGGCCTGTCCCCTCATGGCTCTGCTCCACCACCCCTGGGGCTTCTCTGGGAGTGTTAGCCCAAGGTCCCCTCCACTGTCACAAGGAAGCACCTGCCCTTCGTGGTGGGCGGGGGCTGCAGTGCCCACCTGTGCTTGCTCCCAGGCCCACATCTGGGAAGGGGCCGGGGGACCCCAGGGCTCTATCAGCCTGGGCTCCCAGGGCAGCATGGGGGCTTTGCCTGGGTGGGAGTCCTGTGGGGTCTTGGCACCCACATCGAGTTCCTGGGGGGGGGTCACACCTTTCCCCCAGCACAGTGCGTACGGCCAGCCCAGGGCAGGGCCCAGAGGAAGGGGCTCCTCCACCAGCCCAGGTCTGGCTGCAGGGGAGATGGACGTGTGGTTTCTGAGTCTTTTCTTTTGAGTATTTTTTTTTTTTTTTAGAAAAAGGAAATGACAAACTCAGTCTCGGCCAGCCAGGCCCTGCCCTCTGCCCTGCTGGTGTCCAAGGGCTTGAACCTGGGCGGGTGCTGGGGGGTCTAGGGGCTCAGGAGTTGAGGGCCATGTCCCAGGCCCGGGGCTCCTCGCCATGGTGGTCTGACGGGCGCGGGGGCTGGAGGTGGCAGGAGTGGGTCCAGCGGCTTCCTCACCCGCGCTGGCCTGTGGGGCAAGGCAGGGGTCAGAGAGCGCCGGGAAGAGCAGCTGGGCTGGGGAAGGGGGGCTCCGGCGGCCAGTGAGGGCTGTGTCCAACCAGTCCAAGAAGGGGAGGGGCAGGCCGGGCTTTGGAAAGCCCCAGGCAGGCCTCCTCCCTGCCCGTTTGCTGGCACTGGCTGCAGACGTCTCAGCTGAGCGGGGGTGGGGCTGGGAGTGGGGCGGGGAGCTGTCCAGCTCCCAGCTGGGGGTACTGCTGAGCCCAGACACGTGCCTGGGCCCCTGGGGGGCCTGTGTGAGCTGCCCCCTCCCCAGCTCATTTCCTCCTCCTCCTCAAGGGAGCCAGACTCCTGCTGGGATGGGCCTTCCCTCTTAGGACAGGCCCCGCAGGTGTCTGGGGCATGGGCAGCCTGGGAAAGTACAGCTTTACCATGGGAAGATCACCAGTCTCCTCTCCTGATCCCAAACCAGGCCCACGCCCAGGGCAGAGCCGCGTGCCAAAGGCCCTTCAGAGGACGTGCACCGGAGCCCAGGCACCCTGCCCTGGGCCTGGCGCCTGTGCAGCCATGGACGCTCCTCGAGAGAGAATAGGCCTGGCTCTCCAAAGTCAGAAAACCGACAGCCCAAATTTGCTGCCCCAGTGAGACCCCTGGGTACCCCCTTGTGGCCCTGGCTCAAAGCCACCTCGTGGACCCGGCTGCTTCCCAGGTACTCTCTCTGGGCTGGGAGCCGGATGCTGGAGCCCCCGTGCCTACCCAGAGCCAGGCATGAAGTCGGTCACAGAAGAGGGAGGGGTGGATGGATGGACAGACGGACGCCTGGGAAGCCCCAAGGAGAGGATTCTCTCGCTGTGAGTGCCGACGGCCGGGCTGGTGCGGAGCAGGCTCCGGTCCATACTTACGGGTGCGCCTGCTTGGACAAGAGGTCGATGGCTTTTCATTGACAAGGTAGAGAGGAAATGGATCAAATCCACCAACGAAATGAACTGAAAGCAATCAAGACCCAAGTGAAACAGAACTCAAGCAATGGAACGATGGCAGAACGGGAAACAGGCCCAACAGCAAACTCCGGGCAGGGACGCAGAGCGGGCCGGAGGGGTCCCACCCGGAGCGGGGCAGACACAGCCCTAAAGCAGCTCCCAGACCGAAGATAGGGTGAGACTTTCCAGCTGAAAGGTTTGAGTGGATCCAACCGCCCAGCCTGGCGGGGGCTGTGCCTTGCTCTGCCCGCTCGCCAGTCACCCGCCATGATGTTCACAGACATCAGTCACCTGGGAGCGGGGCTGGCAGGTGCTTGCTGGGCAAAGCTAATACCTTTCCGAACCCCTGGGCTGGCTCCCGCCTTGAACCGATTGGAACATAGTGGACTTGCAGGCGCCCAGCTGTGGTCTGAGCAACGGTTTCGGGATCAGGCAGAGGGGGCTGAGGTGGCTGAGGGCTGGGAGCTGCGGCTCCGAGCGCATCCCTGCTCTGAGTGTGGGATGCCCCGTGGACCCCTGACCCTGTGGCCACGGATGACTCAGAATTCCAACTCCAAACCCAGGGAAGGTTCTACCCACAGGAGCCGTAGCCCCAGGTGCGCCCAGACCCTGCCTGGCTCCCGAAGCCCTGCCGTCCTGCTCCTGCTGCAACCTCTAACCCTCCCGCTAACAGTCCTCAGGAGGTGGGAAGGATGAGCGGTTTCTGTGGAGCCTCAGGGGGTCTGACTGCTCCCTGGGGGCCAGTGAGGGCCTGCACGGCCCCAGACACCCCTTAAGCGCTGTGGGAAACACCCCTGGACAGTGAGCCGTGGGCCCCGAGCTGAGCCCAACATGGGGGTGTTTTCAAGGTGAGCTCAGAGTCCAGGGGAGACTAAGGGCTCTGGTGATGTCGGGGCCAGATGTGGCTCTCCTGGGGGCCCCAGAGCCCTGGCCAGCTGATGGGATTAGAAGTCATTTCGAGGTGCCCATTGGGTGTTCGCCAACCGGCGGGCTGGCTACACGTCTAGATGCGGGCAGCGGTGCTTCCCAAGAGGCACCTGCATTGCCAGAGCAGGAAGGCGTTTTGACCATGCAGGGGCTGCGGAGTCAGAGGGCTGACCCGACAGGAAGGGACGTGGGGCCTGGAGACCCTGACCCACTGGCCGTGCTGGGGGTGTGGGCCAAGATGCTGCCGGGTAGCATTCTGGCAAGGTTGGCCCGGGGTCCTCTGGGGTGGGGGAGACCTGGGGCTGCATCCATGTGCTGCCGCCACAGGCTGCGGGAACCCGGGCACATCTGTCCAAGGCCTGAGCCACAGCCCTGGCAGCTGTGCAAGGTGAACACGGCAGGACCTGCCTTGCAAGGAAGCCCTGCCTTTGGGAACACCCCATCACCACAGCTGCTGACACTGTGCAGATGGGGGACCCAGCACAATCGCCCTGAGCCAACGAGCTTGAAGGCATGTACCCGCACATGCAATACCCATGCACACATATGCACCACTCACATGCACACCAAATGCACACATAAGCACATACATATACAAGCATATATATGCGTGCATGCATGTGAACACAAACAGCATGCACTCCAATGCACACACTTGCACTTATACACACATACACACGCACACACACATTAAATGCGCACACATGCACCAGCCCTGTGTAGCTCTGGCTGTTTTCCCAGGCTCTGCCCCCCCTGCTGAGAGCTGGCTGCGCCCCCTGGACCAGGCTGATCTGGCCGTGGGGCCTGCGCAGGGTCACAGAGGACCTTTGCTCAGAGTTCTGCCTGTGGTCTATTCCTTGTGTTTAGAATGAAAGCTCTGTGGCTGTCACCTCTGGGACCAGGCGTGGCTTTCCCCATGAGAGGACATGCCTGGCTCCACACACCCTCCTCCTACTCTGAGGAGAACCTTACAAACATCTGAGTGCAAACCTTGGCACTACTACTTACTGGCTTTCTGACCTTGGCCAAGTTACTGGATTGTACCGTGCCTCAGTTTCCTCATCTGAGCAATGGGTTCATATCAGAAGGAGCATGCATGGTTGTCACGAGGTTTTAGTGAGATCTTCCTCAGCAAGCCCAGGGCCTTGGTTCTGGCAAGAGCTCAGAAAGTGTGGGCTCCTGGCTCGAAAGGGACATTGGAGAGATCTCATTTTGCAGATGGGAAAACTGAGTCCAGGGAGAGGCAATGGCTTGCTTTGTGTCCACGGTGACATCACAGGTGACCTAGACTGCTGCCTGGATTGCAGCAGCGTCATTCCTGCTCACCTGCACGTGCCCAGGTGGGCGCCGGGAGCCCTGCTCCGCGGAGCTGTTTGCTCTGAGGTTCTCGTTTCGCCTTGTGTTCATCTGCTCCGTTCAGCTCTCACTGAGAACTTCCAGAGCTTCAGCTGGAAACCACAGAGATGATCACATCACCATGACTGAAAACTAATGGACTGCGGCAGTTCTAAAGGAAAAACAAACCAGCTAAATACTTTAGATGGAGTAATACAAAGTTTTCCATTTGCGGCTTCATGTTCTGCACCATTCACCGCTTCGTTGCCGGGACTCCGCACCGTTACGAGTGTCTTCTCCCCTCCGTTACGTGGTCACTGAATGCGCCTCGA